GGAAGTGCCTTGGTGAAGACATCAGCAGTGTTGGCCCGAGTGGCCACGTACGCAAGACAAAGCTGGCCACGCTACTGCAACTCTCGAGCAAGGAAATATCGCAGAGTGATGTGCTTTGTTCTGTGCTCCAGTCTGTGCTCTTGACACAAGGCAATCATGGCCTTGTTGTCTACGTACAGAACTGGAGGCGAACGAGGCTGCTCTCCCAAGTCGGTCAGCAGGTAGGTGAGCCAGCGTAGCTCTTGAGCAGCCATGGCCCCGGCATAGATCTCAGCCTCACAACTGGAGCTGAGGATCGAAGACGAGCGGGTAGATCGCCAAGAAACAGAGCCGGAACCAAGGCTGAAGGTGTAACCCTGTGACGACCGCTGCGTAGCTGAGTCGTCAACCCAGGAGGCGTCAGCGTGACCAGTGAGGACAACTGGACCCCGTCCTCCAAGCACAAGCCCCATGCCCGACGTACTTCACAGGTAACGCAGTACCCTCTTCACAGCATCCCAGTGCACCTTTCGGTGCCTACCGGGAGCCACGTAGCGAGCCAGAAGGCTGAGAGGGTACACGAGGTAAGGTCGTGTGCACGTCATCAGGTACATGAGGCAACCCACAAGCTCTGGGTACGGACCACTCGGCTCTACGGACTCGTCCGAAGGTGGAGCTGAGAGCGAGTGGCTGGTAGACAGAGGAGTGGGCTGTGGCGAGGAGAACTAGAAGCAGAAGCGCTGAAGGACCTGATGCACCATGTGAGACTGAGTCAGGGTGATGGTGCGCCGTGCTCTGTCCCGGGTGATCTGCAAGCCAAGATAGCTGCGTAGTTCACCCAGGTCAGTGCAGGTGTGTCTCTTCTGCAGCTCCGACTTCACAAGGGTCAGTGCCTCAGTGTCAGCAGTGGCAAAGAAGAGGTCGTCGACGTACACGAGGACGTAGAACGGCGGCAGCGACGTGTCTGTGCGTAGAAACAGCGACGGGTCCGTAGTAGAAGGAGCAAACCCAAGAGCCGCAAGTGTAGTCCTCAGTGTGTCGTGCCACTCGCAAGGTGCCTGGCGGAGACCGCAGACTGGCAGGTACCTGCAGGAAATGTCCCAGTGAAACCAGGTGGTCGGCGCAGCCAGATCTCCTCATGCAGGCTGCCCTGCAGGAAAGCTGTGCTGAAGTCCAGAGAGTGCAACTCGTAGTCACGCTGAGCAGCGACGTGCAGCAACACCCGAAGAGTAGTCATCCTCGGGGTGGGGGAGAAGGTCTGGAAGCACTCAACTCCCTGTCGCTGACTGAAGCCTCGAGCAACGTAACGCGCCTTGAAGGTAGGCGGAGAACCCGGCGGCTGCTTCACCCTGAAAATCCACATGCCATCGACTATGTTCGCCCGAGATGGGGGAACTTCATCGACGTAGGTGGCTGTGGACTTCCAGGATGCCATCTCGGCATCTATAGCTGCCTGCCACTGAGAGGAGTAAGGACCTGTAATCGCCTCTGCGTAAGAGCGCGGGGTCGGGATGTCTGGAGCATCCGGGTCTCCCTCAGGGGCAAGCAACATGGAAGCGAAACGAGGTACAGCAGATGCAAGACACTCAAAGTCCTCCTGCCTATCCTCAAGGACGTCCGTGCCAAGAGCACACTCACCCCCGACGGACGGAGGACTGGCAGACACAGACACAGCAACTAGAGCAGTAGCGTAGTCGAGACTGCAGGAAGTAGCAAAGTCAAGAAACAACGAGAGCACACGCAGCAGCAGACTCAAAGGAAGGGTCAGTGACAGCACTGGCGAGGAGACGAGAGACAGTGGGACTGGCTGCACGAGCGCGGTCAGATGCAGGGTCAGGGACCTCAGGAAGAGAGGACTCAGGAGGAGCAGGCGGAGGAACGCGCATTGGAACAGAGGAAGGACGGAGTGCCATAGCGTGCGTGCCAGGGACAGGTGGAGGACGCGAACGAGGAGCGTGACGAGCAGTGCGAACAGGCGAGACAGGACGAGACGCAAGCTCACGGCGCTCTGTAAGGCCGCCTGATTGCTTATTGTAAGGAGAGGGAGCAGGCAGTGGTGTCGCTAGCTGTAACGACGGCTGCGACTGGTCAGGCGGTGGAAACAGGAAGGGAGAAGGAAGACCAGTAGAAGACGGGACACCAAGATCTTGCTGAAGCAGGGGAACGAAGTACGGTCGCGGCCGCACATTGCCTCCAGTACCTCCAGCTCCAGGGTTAAAAGCTCCAGCTCCTGCAGCTCCAGCACCTCCGGCGCCAGTGCCTCCAACTCCAGCTCCAGTAGCTCCAGCGCCTCCAGCGCCAGGGCCTCCAACTCCAGCACCTCCAGCTCCAGCGCCTCCAGGCTCCGTAGGGTCTCCAGCTCCAGCGCACCCAACACCACTAGTCCCGGCAGCTCCAGCACCACTGGTACGAGCACCTCCAGGACCAGTAGTCGCAGTACCTCCAGTACCGCCAGCTCCAGCAGTAACAGTTGCACCTCCAACGCCAGTGTCTCCAGCACCTCCAGCTCCGGGAGCTCCACTCTGACGGTTAGCTCACCGAAGAAGCCACTCACGCAGCTGTTGCGAAGACAGTCGCGGCGAAGCACCAGCAGGACCTCCAGACGAAGCAGCACCCCGAGGCGCAGCACCCCCACACTCCGCACCCTCCGACTCAGCACCCCCAGGCTCAACACCCTCAGGCTCAGCACCCCCAGACCTAGCACCCTCAGACCCCGCACCCCCCGGCTCCGCACCCCCAGACGCAGCACCCCCAGACGCAGCACCCCTAGACGCAGCACCTGGAGCAGCACCTGAGCCGACAGCTTCATGAACAGGCAAGCAGGGGACAATAAAGCAGGGGAGAGGGGAAGTCAAGTCAAGCCCCTCAATGAAGGGAATGGTGCGGCATCAGCAGTGGTCCGCAGGTCAGTGCAAAGCACGTTCCACATCCTGGTGGTTCCACATCCTGGTGGTTCCACATCCAGGTGGTTCCAACACAGGGTGAGTACGGGGGAAGAAGGGTGCTTCAAAAGTTGGGCACACGTCACAGAAGCAGCCTTCCAGTGTGTAGACGCCGGCATGGCATCAGCAGTGGTTCCACGGCTGTCCTGGTGGTTCGAGCACAGGGTGAAAAAGGAACGTCATGATGACTCCTTTGCTGGCACTGAAAACAGGGGGAGAGGGGAAGTCAAGCCCCTCACTGAATGTTGCAGAGGACGTTCCAGGTTCTGGCGGTTTGGGAACAGGGTGCGGAGGGGAGGGGGGAAGGCACAACCCTCGCAGAAGCGGATGGCGGCAGCAGTGGTCCGCATGGCAGGTCATGGCAGAAACATGTTCCACGTCCTGGCGAAGGGACAGCAGGTGGTTTGCTACCTGGATATGCAATGGAACAACAGCTATTTCATATAGAGCAGCCCCCATTGCATTGGCAGCGGTCCACGGGCCACTGCAGAACAGGGCACCAGGTCCTGGCGGTTTGGGAACAGGGCACCAGGTCCTGGCGGTTTGGGAACAGGGCGAGAAAGGAACAGGCAAGGCAAGGGGGGCTCCATTCCATTTCGTTTCATGACAGGGCGAGAGGGGCTAGGGGGAGGGGAAAACGTTTTCATCAATGGCCTGGAACCAGCGAGGCCACCAACGAAGCTTGTGGAACGTGAAAAGGTTCACATGCAGCAACTCACTTGCCATACAGGTCCATCCACCACTCACTTGCGATACAGGTCCATCCACACTGCGCCTTTGTTGACCACCTGCCATGGCAGGTCTGTGCGTGCCCCTCCATGCGTTGCCTTCAGCTGGTGTGCCAAGCTGGTGAGCAGCAGCCGCGGGTTCTGAAACACTGTGCTGATGATCACGCTGGAGTTGGGGCGCAGTGAGAAGGAAGAACGAGAGGAATGGGTGATTGTGAATTGTGTCCCTCTGTGTATCGCCATGCTGGTGAGTAGCAGTAGCCGCGGGCTCTGAAACACTGTGCCCAGGATCAAGCTGCAGTGGGGGCACAGTGAGAAGGGAGTAACGTAACGATGGATCAAATGTAAATGATCTCCCAAACCGACACTTTGCAAGTCTCCGTCACAAAAACCTTCTTGTGATGCGAGGCAAGGCAGACAGACAGGCAGTAAGGACTATGCATGCGCAAACCCTATTACAGGCAGTAAGGACTATGCATGCGCAAACCCTATTACAGGCAGTAAGGACTATGCATGCGCAAACCCTATTACAGGCAGTAAGGACTATGCATGCGCAAACCCTATTACAGGCAGTAAGGACTATGCATGCGCAAACCCTATTACAGGCAGTAAGGACTATGCATGCGCAAACCCTATTACAGGCAGTAAGGACTATGCATGCGCAAACCCTATTACAGGCAGTAAGGACTATGCATGCGCAAACCCTATTACTAAACAAGCTGCTGCCACGCAAAGGCTTGCCTCCTACGTTGGGTTCCATGGGACAAGGCAGTAGTAAGAACCATGATTGTGCAAAGTACCAATCCCGTTTCAATTTGAGTCGAATCGAATCGCTTGGGGGTCCGGCGCTACATGAAAACCCTCCACGGACTTTACCTATCTCGCCCAGCCCCCCATCATGCCACCCCATTCCCTCAGTTCCTTCCCCTACAACTTTTAAGACCCAATGGATGAAGGTGCAGGGGCAAACAAATCAAAACCGGTTCAGAACGAACCACCTCCACTTGTGGTTTAGGATTTTCAGTGTCTTCAGTGTCTTCAGTATGATCAACATTCACAAGGCGCTTCAGGCAACTGCCACGTCAACCACCCGCATCATTTAAAAGAAGTGAGGCACGAGGAGCGAACGTGCGGCAAAAGTGAAATGTGTGTTGAAGGATGGATGGATCAAGTCCAACGCATGATCAGACTGGAGCACCAATTGCCGCCCTACCCAACTTGAAGGGTTGAATGTGGCCGTGCTATGGCTGTCATGTCAGCACTGATGAATGAGAGTGATGTGAGGGAAGGATGTGAGGAATGGGCATGAGAGTTGCGTAGACCCGTGAGAGGGTGACATGGAACGACGTACTCATAGGCGTGCGAGTCAACAGTCCAGGAGGTGTTGGCGTGGGCGAAGGGGTTGCAGAAGCGGCGAGTGAGGAAGGCGCTTGGTGGTGTGATGATGGCTCGGTTGGTGAGAAGACCCAAGATGAACGCCGTGACGTATGCTGTGATCTTGTTGCCCACGCCTGCACGCATCCGATCAGATCGGATGCGATCAGGTCAGATCACAATAGAGACGATGCAGTGATCTTGCTGCCAACACCTGCAAAGTGGATGCGAGAAGGATGCTGCTGAGTGGAGGTGAAGTGAAAATGAAACGCACTGCTGAAGCTCACCTTGATGCGAGCTAATTTTTTAGTAGAGTAAAAAAACGTCCCACTTTGTTGATGTGAGCGGCTCACCTGATTACACTTGGCTGACTTGTAGTATTGAGACGAGCATAACTAAAGTGACCGGCTTCATTCCTAAGAACGATTCACCTTATTCAACACATGATTTATCAACACGTGATTTATCAACACATTTCTTTGATAGAAAGGGCCTACTTTCTTGCCATCAACTCGTTGCATGTCCCTGACACAAAATGTAGCGGCATGTCATGGCAAGGCAAGAGGTACGCAGTGGCCTCGCCTTGTAGCTCGCACATAGCTCACTCACCTTGTTGCATTGCATGCCCTGTCGCACCCCATTCAGCAACTTCTGAGGCGCCTCAAACGTCACATGTCTCACCTTGTTTGTTCCTGCATTTGCTGCTCCACCACATCGGCAGAGTGCGGCTGGGCCAGCGCGACCGCGGCATGGCCTGGCATGGCAAGGCATGGCATGGCATGGCATGGCATGGCATGGCATGGCATGGCATGGCATGGCATGACCAAGGGAGGTGTGCACAGTGCACTTTTGAGTCGACTCAAAAGTCAACTGGAAACCGATGAATCTGTATCTTTATCTCCCCTTCAGGTCCTACCACACCCGTACTATTAAAATGGTTTCATCCGTCAGTGATCTCCATCGTTTTCCACTGCGCTCATCTTCTCATCTTCTTCGCTCGCCTCCAAGCCTGAGGATACCCGGAGAGGTTTCTTTTACCAATCTTCAAGTCATTTTCGTTCGGAACTTCTCAACCGAGCCTTCTCATTCCGCGATTCTCCTAAACGTGGCCCCCTTCTGCTGAATCGCTGCCCAATCCTTTGGATGACCGTTCGCACATGGGGAAACTTTTGACTCGACTCATAAGTCACCTCGTTACAATGGTACACGACACATTTTCTTTAATTCGCGTGGAGGCTACCAAAGAGAGTTGGCAGTTATATGATTTCTGGTAATAAGTGTTAGAGTACAGTGCCGATTTTAGACACTATTGCTCTCATTTCGTTTTTTTCGTTCGTCTCCGAACTTGCCGCGACAAGGATTTCCCGCGCGTGGTTGAGACAGGACAACATTCTCTAGGCATATAAGTATGCCAAAACCGGTTACCACCGTTTATATTCACAAGAGTTTTTTACTAAGTACTACTATACTAACAATCACATGTGTTATTCCCTATGTTGCTGCCACATATCAACCCTGTGGCACCAAATTGTTGTTCTCAGGGAGGTGTGCACTATCCTCACCTCGTTTCCTGTCCTCTCCTCGTTTCATCTCCTCACCTCGTTTCCTGTCCTCTCCTCGTTTCATCTCCTCACCTCGTTTCCTGTCCTCTCCTCGTTTCATCTCCTCACCACTTTTCAGCTCCTCTCCTCGTTTCATCTCCTCACCTCGTTTCACCTCCTCACCTCGTTTCATCTCCTCACCTCGATTTACGTCGTCTATCAGAATGTAGCGGCATAGCTCCCTGTCGGGCCCATGACGTGGCAAGTGCTTGCTCCTGGCACACGTGTAGGTAAGTGACAAAACGAGGAAGGAAGGGTGAAGAGGGTTGGGCGAGGCGAGAAAGAGAAAGAATTGCACTTCAACCGACGACTGTGCTCTCCCGCACCTAAAATTATCATATCCTTGCCGTTTCTTGTACGTCCAACGACCAATATTGGTAGTCCGCAATATGCTGGGTCCGCCTGTGGAACGATATTTGTCACCCTTACAAATATTCCTCAACGTTTCCCAACACAGATCATACCAGTTCCCTTTGTTGCCCACCCACGCCCACTGCTCTGCGCCTCCCTGCGCCACGCACTCCCTCTGCATTGCCTCAAAGGCCTCCACTGCGCTCAAGAATGCGTTGGAGGGTGGGGCGGTGTTGGCCTGCACGCACAGGTGTGAGAGCATGAGACAGGTGTTAGAGCATGAGACAGGTATCAGAGCATACGACAGGTATCAGAGCATGAGACAGGTATCAGAGCATGAGACAGGTATCAGAGCATACGACAGGTATCAGAGCATGAGACAGGTATCAGAGCATGAGACAGGTACCAGAGCATGAGACAGGCATCAGAGCATACGACAGGTGTCAGAGCATACGACAGGTGTCAGAGCATACGACAGGTGTTTGAGCATACGACAGGTGTCAGAGCATACGACAGGTGTCAGATCACAAGTCAGCACAGCACAGGCATTGCGGCACAGCACTGCACTAGCACCACAAGACATAGAATTATACCGTGTGCTATAGATACCTTCTCCCGCCATACCGTGTGCTACAGACACCTCTCTCACGCCATACCGTGTGGTACAGGTGTCGCTCCTGCTGGCTCCAGCACGAGTCAGCCGTGCGGTACAGCATGTGGCGCCACGCCACAGATGCATCGAAGCTGGACGGCGGATCCTGCAGCTCAAAGCCGCGTCCAACCGTGCCACTCGTGTCCAAGTCGCGTCTGATGTCATCCCCGCCACCGCGCTTCCCGTTGCTTCCTACACCCCCCACTCTTTCGCCGCCTGCTTCCCCGCTCATCGCTCCCTCGCTCCCGCTGCCTATCCCTTCGCCGTCGCTCCTCAAACCCTCGCTGTGCGCGAGACCGTTGGGGGCTGTCGCGACGAGAGCTAATGACAACATGAGTACGACCGCCAGCTCGCACCGTTTTCGCCTGTCGCGCTCGAGCATACCCATACTGTAGTGATGGTCGTCAGTGGTTATCGCTATACTAGTAAACTCACCCTAATCTCATTTGGGAGCTCTCGTGTTAGTGAAACTTTCGTCTACGCGGTCGAGAGATCTCATTTGGGAGCTCCTGTGTCAAGTGACATGTCAAGTAAAGTCTCTACAAAATTTTGAACATCCTCTGCCGGAGATGCACAACCGTGGAGACTCCTGTAAATTACAGATCACGACGACAGGTACGTTTTGAACAGATTCGGCAAACTTCTCCTAACAACCGTTGATTTGCAATCTAGGATGCTGGATGTGTGGATGAGGGGAGAGTGTCTGACGGGACGGCCGGCTGCTGCTCTGACGAAACGCGACTGTCGTGGTTCCCTCCACAAATTCTGGGTGGGAGGGACTTGCGATCCGAAGCGAAGGTGTTCAGATTCAGACAGTGCATGGAGGAAATGACGGATCGCCCTGTTTTCTGGTTTTCAATTCAGGTGGTGTCTGGTTTTAAAAGCACATCTCTCCGTGCTAGCGTCCAATTCCCACGAGCAGTTTATTTTCCCTAGTAGAAATTCAAGTGATTTTACGGGGCAAACAGAACAAGAGGCGACAAGGTCGTCCTAGGGTTGCGAAGCATTTTACAAAAGCTCTCTGGAATGTATTTGAACTATGAACTCTTGCGAAAAAAAAAACAAAAAAACAAAAAAACACTAATTAGCTGTAGAGGTTCAAAGCAAGCTTCACATTGATCATGCAAGAATTGAGCCAGCCTCCTTTTATCCGCCGCCTTCGATTTCTGCCGTCTGCACCAAAGCAACTAACATGATTTGGACAGTTTTTTTTACGGAAATTGAAACTCTATTAGGGTTTGTGTTTCTCTTTTTCCTCCCTCCTTTCCTCTCGCTAGTGGAGCTAGGTTGATACCCGCCAGCAAGCCATGCTTTACCTACCACTCCAAGGTGAGAAGGATCCTAAGCCATTATCTAGAACTAACTTAGACTATTATAAGCTAGACTAGGTTTTTGTAATCTCGTATCCTAGTCGTGTACTTCTATGTTGGTCGTTCTAGAGGTAAGCATGTTGTTTAAGCTTAGATTCTAGTCCCTTCGTAAAGACAGTAGCTTTCCCTTATGTTTTTTAGGTCGTTCATAGTCCCGCATCCGTTTTTTTCCTGTTCTCATCCAGTTCCTACTAAGGTAAGAACAACTATCAAGTAGGATTAAGTTACACTAGCTAAACTAGCATGTCTTAATCTCGTATAGTCGTTTGCTCATGTGTTGGCCGCGTTTACAAGGTGCCAATTGATTAAGCTTAGGTTCTAGGCTTGCATCTTTCTCTTTCACTTTCAATCGGTCTTTCTTACTCCTCCATGCTTGAGTCTCCAGTTCCCTTTAAACAGAACCAGATGTGAGTCAGCAATTAGACTATCCAGGAGACATGTGTCTCTAGTATGATCTTGATTAACTGCAGTTACGGTTCATCGTTTCTTTCATACGGTAGTAAATCGTAATTGAATGTTTTATTTCATCATGTTTTGCTCTTCCTCAGTTTATCTATCCAATATCTCTCACTATCTTCCCCATCTCTCTCGTTCCTTTCTATCTATTTATTCACACTCATTCGCACACATACACTTCTCTATTTGTACATCGAAATTCTGTTGATTAGCGCATTGTTCTCTGATTCATATTGTTGGCATGCTTTTTTCTTCTTCTTTCCTTCATGTCGTCTCTTTTCGCCTTCTATCAAGCTTTCTCTTTCTTCCAATCAGTTCCCCTCCTTTTCTCCTACCATTCGTTTTATTTTTCCCTCTTTGCTTCCGCGTGCTTACTATTTCACATCTCCGCCCTTAAGTTCTCTGTCCTAGTAATACTATATGCTTCCAATATTTATTCATGATTCTTCTATTCTTCATCCTTCATTTCCTCTGTTCGCATCGGTTATTTTGTATCCTAATGTTTGTGTGAGAATCAACAGGAATGGAATGAACTAGGAAAGTGTGAGATACAAATATGAAACCTGTACCCCTTAGTGTCTACCCCACTACAGCCTACATAGGCTAAGGCATTTATATCTGACACACCCCCATAGGCAAAGTGGGGGAGAACTAGGGGTCACAAGACCAGTCAAGCAAAGCAAAGCAAAGCAAGCTCAGGGTGGATCACAACGTCACCACACATTCCGAGCACCGGTTCAAAGGCCACAAGGCCAGTTCATATGCAAGTTCATATATAAAGGTAAACAAGCAAGTGCAGGTATATATAGATCACAGTACAAGGAAAGTCAAGAGGTAAGCAAGTGAGGCCAAGTAGGCACAAGACCTAGCATAGTACAGAAGCGTTGATGATCACAAGGCTGAAGCGCCTTGGTGAAGATATCAGCAGTGTTGGCCTGAGAGGCCACGTAAGCAAGGCGCAGCTGACCACGCTGCTGCAGCTCACGAGCAAGGAAGTAGCGAAGAGCAATGTGCTTCGTTCTGTGCTCCAGTCTGTGCTCCCGACACAAGGCCAGCATGGCCTTGTTGTCTACGTACAGAACTGGAGGAGAACGAGGCGGCTCTCCCAGGTCAGTCAGCAGGTAGGTGAGCCAGCGTAACTCCTGTACAGCCATGGCCCCTGCGTAGATCTCAGACTCACAGCTGGAGCTGAGAACAGAAGACGAGCGAGTAGACCGCCACGAAACAGAGCCGGAACCAAGGCTGAAGGTGTAACCCTGTGACGACCGCTGCGTAGCCAAGTCGTCAACCCAAGACGCGTCTGCGTGACCAGTGAGGACCACTGGACTCCGCCCTCCAAGCACTAGCCCCAAGCCCGAAGTACTGCACAAGTAGCGCAACACCCTCTTCGCTGCAGCCATGTGCTCTGGTCTGTGTCTCCCAGGAGCAACATAGCGTGCCAAGATGCTCAGAGGGTATGCTAGGTCAGGTCGAGTGCAGGTCATCAGGTACATGAGGCAGCCAACAAGCTCTGGGTAAGGGCCACTCGGCTCTACGGACTCATTCGAAGGCAGAGCTGAGAGCGAGTGGCGAGTAGACAGAGGAGTGGCCTGAGGCGAGGAGTACGTGAAGTCGAAGCGCTGAAGGACCTGCTGCACCATGTGTGACTGAGTCAGGGTAATGGTGCTCTGTCCCGGGTGATCTGCAAGCCAAGATAGCTGCGCAGTTCACCCAGGTCTGTGCACATGTGTCTCTTCTGCAGCTCGGACTTCACGTGGGCGAGTCCAGCAGTGTCAGCTGTAGCAAACACCAAGTCGTCGACGTACACGAGGATGTAGAACGGCGGCAGCAAAGTGTCGGTGCGAAGAAACAGCGACGTGTCAGCAGTGGAAGGAGCAAACCCAAGAGCCGCAAGCGTAGTCCTCAGTGTGTCGTGCCACTCACGTGGCGCCTGGCGGAGACCGTAGACTGGCCGCCGGAGGCTCCACTGGGTACCAGGAGGAAACGACCCAGTGAAGCCAGGTGGGCGGCGCAGCCAGATCTCCTCGTGCAGACTGCCCTGTAGGAAAGCAGTGCTGAAGTCAAGGGAGTGAAGCTCGTAGTCACGCTGAGCAGCAACGTGCAGCAGAACCCGAAGAGTGGTCATTTTCGGGGTCGGGGAGAAGGTCTGAAAGTAGTCAACTCCCTGCCGCTGACTGAAGCCTCGAGCCACGTAACGCGCCTTGAAGACAGGCGGAGAACCCGACGGCCGCTTCACCCTGAAGATCCACATGCCACTGACGATGTTCGCCCCAGGTGGGGGAACCTCGTCTACGTAGGTGCCTGTGGACTTCCAGGAAGCCATCTCTGCATCCATGGCTGCCTGCCACTGAGAGGAGTAAGGACCCTCTATCGCCTCTGCGTAAGAGCGCGGGGTCGGGATGTCTGGTGCATCCGGGTCTCCCTCAGGGGCAAGCAGCGTGGACATGAGATGAGGTAAAGCAGCAGCAAAACACTGGAACTCCTCCTGTCGGTCCTCAAGGACGTCCGTGCTAAGAGCACACTCACCCCCGACGGACGGAGGACAGACAGACGCAGACTCAGCAACAAGACTAGCGGCGTAGTCTAGACGACAGTGAGCAGCGAAGTCGACAAGCTCGGTAACTAAGGCAGACGCAGCAGTGGACTCAAAGGAAGGGTCAGTGACAACAGTGGCTAGGAAACGCGTGACAGTAGGACTGGCAGCACCTCCAGAACCAGCAGGGACAACACTAGTGCCCCCAGCGTCAGCTCCAACTCCAGCAGGACCACCGGCAGACACAGCCGCTCCGGCTCCAGTACCTCCAGTAGTACCCACTCCAGCAGCACCACCAGCACCAGCGCCACCAGTAGCTCCAGCACCAAAAGCACCACCAGGCCCAGCAGCTCCAGTACCTCCAGGACGAGCACCTCCGGGACCCGTGGCTCCAGCACCCTCAGCAGAAGCAGAACCTCCAGTACCAGCTCCAGCAGCACCTCCAGCTCCAGTACCTCCAGCAGCAGCAGAACCTCCAGCACCGGCAGCACCTCCAGCTCCAGCACCTCCAGCAGCAGCAGAACCTGCAGCACCGGCAGCACCTCCAGCTCCAGCAGCACGGCTCCAGCGCCGAGCAAACCACTCGCGCAGCTCCTGTGGAGAGGGAAGCTCCCGCCGGGACAAAGCACCCGAACGACCGCCAGGTCCAGCACCGGCAGGCTCCACACCCCCACTCCCAGCAACCCCAGGCTCAGCACCCCCAGAAGCAGCACCCCCAGGCTCCGCACGCTCAGGCACAGCACCCCCAGACCCAGCACCCCCAGGCTCCGCACGCTCGGGCTCAGCACCCCCAGACCCAGCACCCCCAGGCTCCGCACGCTCAGGCTCAGCACCCCCAGACGCACCAGAGTCAGCAGCTACCTCGTCAGGCTCGACTGCATCTACCTGGGACACACCTGAGGGGGCAGGACCCTGAGGGGGGAGGGGGTCTACCGGGGGGGGACCGGGAGCGAGGAAGAGCGGCGGGGGGGGGAG